ATGTAAGTTTCAGCGCACTACACAGTTTGGAATGATATGCATGGCTTTCTTCCTCTTGCTTCTGTCATATTGTTACAGGATTCCAGGGCAGGAGGAAAAGAGAAACTGAGACAGGAAAGTTAAAACAAGGCCAAACAGTGTGGGCAATTTGCAGCCAGCTTGTAACTAGCAAGCCATTATCTTCCCCAGCCAAGGACATGAGAACAAATGGTTAAAAAACCCCTCTAGTGTGAGAATGCAGAAAGGGAAGGGGGAAAAGGGAAAGGAAAAAAGGGCAGTTTTACTTCCTAAGCAGAGAAGCCAGCAGTCTCAAGACTTGGCATGATAAAGTTGCCAGGTGCTTCTCATGAATTCTGGGAAGACCACAACAAAGTTAAAAAAAAAAAAAAGGAGGGGGATGGGACCTTGAGAATTAATCTATACCAAAATATTTAGCAAATGAATCTTAAAACCTATAGACCAGGGGTATATAACACCTCGGACCCCCACCCAACCTGCTTTTCAGATTAGCTAAGAGCCTGTTTGTGCTTCGTAGGCCAGATGTATAGGTTTTCCTGCTTGCTTTGCTTTTTCAATAAAGGTGCATGCTTTAATTAATTGACTTTTCACAATGCAGTCAAGGTCTCTCAAATAAATTCATCTATATGTGAAGACAAGGATCGAGGTTGGGAACAGCCCTCTCCCACTGACTGAGGGGGCTGTCCACTAACACCTCTCTGGTGATGGTGAGAGGTGCCTCTAACAATTCTTATATAGTACCGTACAGCAAGAAAGATAATAAAGTGGAGAAAAAAATGTCTTTAATAACATTTTCTCTAAGGATCAATATCATTGTGTAGTCTAACTGATTTTAAAAGCTTTATTCTGGGCTCTATCTGGACATTTAATAGGATGGATAAGACTTATGAGTGTTCCCTCACTTGTGTGTAAGAAATAAACCAGGAACTGTTCATAAATTGTTTATTTTATACTGAAGGGTACAGGGTTGAAAGAGACCTTTAGGATTTATTTGGGGTATTCCCTGATTTCTGGAAGGAATGTGACTTGATTGTTGTATTAACTCAATATCTAAAATCTGCAAGGAAAGAAATTACACAATGTACATTTGCATTAACTCACTTTTGTGTTTTATAACTCTGGCTGTTGGAAAATGTTCAATTCCCTTAAGAGCACAGGCTTCCAACACAGTGGGTATCATTAGCCTTATTAAGGCAAATATAAGTTAAATGCAACGAATTAGCCTAGAGAGTAGAGAACTTATTAATATTCAAATCCTATAGATAATGCCTAGCATAGAACATTTTAAGTAATAGATGCCAAATAAATACGTATTAAATTGAATGAAACTGAAAAGCAGGGGGAAGGTTGTTGGGTTATCAAAGTGCATTATGGACTAGAGCAGTGCTTTTCAACTGGTGTGCCGCCAGAATTTTTAAAACATGCAATCCCAGACTATTTTAGTCAGGGGCACTGACCTCCTCCCCTTAAATTGTCAAAAAAAAAAAAAAATGACAACAGCCAACACAACAGTGGCCATCTGGTGTGAATGAATCAAAATAATACCTAGTGTGTTGTTGTTTTTTGTCAGATTGGTAACAAATATATTTTTGGGTGTGCCGCAGAATTTTAGTAATTAGTTTCTGTGTGCCATGAGGTGAAAAAGGTTGATAGCTGCTGGACCAGAGGCTTCATTGCTGTGTCCTACTTTCTCATTTCTGAAATCAACACTTAAATTACATTTAAAAAATTATGTGAAACAAGAAAAATGCTGACTTTCTCTGATGTTCATTCAATTATTCATTCAGCAAGTATTTATTGAACATCATGTGCTAGGCACTGTCCCAGGTTCTGAATATATTATTTTTATTTTTTAATTGAATTTATTCAGGTGACATTGGTTCACAAAACCATACCGGTTTCAAGTGCACAACTCAATGAAACATCACCTGCACACTGCATCGTGTCCCCTTTGCCCCAAGCAAAGTCTCTTTCAGCCCCCATTTTCCCCTTTGCCAACCTCCACACACCCCACCCTCCTTTCCCTCTGGCTAGCACCACACTGTTTTCTGTGTCTATGTGTTATGTACACATGTGTTTTTCTAATGTCTTCACCTTCTTTCATCCAGTCCCCCCATCCTGCTCCCCCTCTGACATCTGTCTGTATCCATGCCTCTGTTTCTATTTTGGTCATCAGTTTATTTTGTTCATTAGATTCAACATCTGAGTGAGATCATATGGTATTTGTCTTTTGCTGACTGGCTTATTTCACATAGCATAATAATCTCTAGATCCATCCATGCTGTCACAAAGGGTAAGATTTCCTTCTTCTGTATGGCCAAATAGGATTCCATTGTGTAAATGTACCACAGTTTTGTTTTGTTTTTTTATCCCCTCATCTACTGATGGCACTTGGGCTAGTTCCAGATCTTGGCTATTGTAAATACTGCTGCAATGAGCATGAATGCTATGTTTTAAACAATAGTGTATAATACTGAGAATCCCAATTGATTCTAAACCAACTAAAAGTTCCTGTTGTAAGAGTTTAACGAGCTGTTGCTCAGTTTGCTATGAACACTTCACTGAATGTGGTTGCCTGATTTTTAAAAATACCACTAATCATATAATGTTGACTCTCTTAATACCACCATTACATAACCTGCACCTCCCCATCCAGAATCTTAAAGCTATGGAGTAATAGTGAGTTAAGAAACACAGTGTGGTTGGTAGAAAGAATTAATAGACTGGGAATTCACAAATTAGCCTCTGAAGTGGTGTTACCTCTGTCAAGAAACTGAATTCTGCAGAATCAGTTTCCTTAGCTATTAAATAAAATGAATTAGAAAAATGCTAAGGCCAATTTTAAGTCTGATATTCTATAATCTTTAATTAAGATCTAGATAATTCTAAATACTGGGAGGAAGATAAACTCTACATTATTTGGTTTTTTTAAACATATTTTATTGATTTTTTACAGAGAGGAAGAGAGGGATAGAGAGTTAGAAACATCGATGAGAGAGAAACATCAATCAGCTGCCTCCTGCACACCTATTGGGAATGTGCCCGCAACTAAGGTACATGCCCTTGACCAGAATTGAACCTGGGACCCTTGAGTCCACAGGCCCATGCTCTATCCACTGAGCCAAACCGGTTAGGGCTCTACATTATTTGTTTGGGTCCAATTTCTATTAGTGATACAACAATTCCCCCCCCCCCTTTTTTTGTATAGTGACACCAATACTATATACATATACATAAATCTGTATGTATAATTATTACTTTAAAAGTGGTCACCAAAGTACCATCGTACAGGTGACTCAACCCTACAGGTTTTGCCAAGTATACTTGCTTTTGCTACAGCATGAACTTCCCTTCCCTTTGTACATTTTCTTTACAGACGGCAGAGCCATTGAAAAGGATGGAGTTGGGAATGGCAGTGGTTAGTGCATATTTATGTTATGGCCAAAACTTAATTTTTATTTTTCAAGTTAAAAGGTTTCAAACTTCAAGGAGTTTAGTTTGTCATAGTTGGAATTTAGATAGCTCCTCCGGCTAACGTTGGGCATGAAAAAAGGTAGCAAACAAGGGGAAGGACGTCTAAGCCCTAGGGGAGAAAAATAACGAAAGCTTTTTAAAAAATTGTTTGTTTTTACAATTCAAATAAAAAGAATACTGCAATGCAGAAAGAGCTAGATCAGGGAATCGCGCTGAATAGGACACCTTCGAGCCCTGTGTCTACAAGTATTTGGGAACCTGGAACCGCAGGAGGCCCAAGTTCTTGCTGCCAGAAGGACTGGATGATGAGAAAGGGAGTCTATTTCCGCTTTAGTAGCTTTAAAATATATTCTGCAGGTAGTGTCCTATCCAACTCCCCTGACTCACTCAGAAAAAAAAACACACAAAACAACTCTTGATAAGTGTAAAATGTTGAGATATTGACGCCTTTCAAAAAAGGATGCAAACATTTGTTATCAAAAGTATTTCATTAGGAGCCAAAGATCTGAACTATCACAGAATCCATCTCAGGAAGTTCAGTACCGTTTGCTGCCCCCGTCGTAGGTCAGGGTCGGTCTTCAGCACCAGACGGCACCCCGCGCGCCCAGTGCGCCTCGGGTCAAGGGCTGCGGCTCCCAGGGCGCGCGCCCGGGTCTGGGGCGGGGAGTGCGGGGTGGGTCCTGGCAGCACCCAATCAGCAGCCGAGCCGGCGGTGGCGCTAGTGACGCAGCTGCGCTTCCCTCCGCCCCACTGCGGGCCGCTCCCGGCGCTGTCGGCCTCGCGAGCTCCGCGCGGGGAGGGGAAGGAGGAGGACTCCGGGCCGGCCGGGTGTCCGAGGGCGGCGGGTCGCGGGAAGGGGGAGACTGAGCATGCGCAGCCGGTCCGGCGACGGCCGGGTGGGAGGGGACCCGTGCGCGCGCGCACAAGCGGGTTCGCCGGGGCTCGCGGGTGGAGGGGCCGGTTCTTCGAGTGTCGGCGGCCGGAGTGTGGGCAGGCTGGTGGTTAGTTCCTCCTGGGGCAACCGCCGCAGCCTCCTCCGGGCCCGGGGCTCCGAGCCTCCGGAGGAAGACCTGGACTCCGTCGGGGGTGCACCTGCCGGTTGCCCT